TTATATATATATATATATATATATATATATATATATATAAAGCCATAGTACAATGATAAAAACAATACAATCGTTACTAATTAATAAGTTTAATGTTAAAGTAAATTTGTGACTTTAGAGAAACTGCGATGTTTCATCTTTCCACAACTGGTCAAGAATAAATCTTTAATTAATCATATTCAAGTAAATTTTTATAAATTTTCCTGCAGGTGTTTACCATGTAGTTAGGTAATGTCCTTGTAAACTGAATACAGAAAGAGCATATAGGTGCACTAATCCTTAAGCTTAGACAAATGGTACATACCACAATGACTGTTTATTAAATGTGCTGCATGGGTGGGATTTCCTCGAGTTCAATATCCCCATCTCTGATATGGGTACATCATATATCATTGGAAAGCTGAATATGTCTACTATTCAGATCTGCCTGTTGTACTAACCAACAGTGGTCACGTTCTTTTTAATATACACAAAAATAGAAGTACACTATATTGAAATGAACAACATAAAAACATGTAGCTAAATTGCCATACTTGCCTGTTTGAATGTCATTCTAAATTGCAAAATGAGAATTTTGTCATCAAAATATTTTAAAAAATGGTGCATGAATAAATATTATATTGTATTATCACTTGAAATACAACATTAGTGATATTTAGATAACTGAAACCCGAGTTGGTTGCTATAGTAATAAGATGCAATGGAGATGCCAAGGGGAGATCTGTTGAAAAATAACTCTGCATGTTCATATATTAAATGAAGCAAGTAAGCCACATGGTAACTGAAACCTAATCATTAAGTGCTGCAGAAAGAGAAGTTTGTAAACATTAAGCTGCTCATGAGAAAAAGGATCAGTACGAGAAGAATAGCTTATAGCTATTAACTGAGCTGAGGAAGAAAGTCAATAAAATAAGCATTATCATACACTGAACATGAAAACACTGATGAGAAGACAGAGTGGATGATCCTCCCCCAAAAAATTTATATGAGTATCTAAGGTCTGAGAAAACCAATTAATTGATGAAGACCCTGCTTAAAAGGTCAGAGGAATGAGAAATATAAGGTAAATGATGTCTTTAGGAATTGCCTCTATTTCTAAAAGAATTAGCCATAACCCAAATGTCAGAAAAATAGAGAGAAATAAATATTCCAAAATAGCATCTTGTAACAAAACACTAGAAACTTCAGGTGTAACAAAAATTTGTTAAATATTTAAAATGTTACAGATCTGAATAAAAAAATAAATAAACAAGTTCAGTAGAAATATCACCAAGACTAGAGCTGGCTGGTAAATTCTGTTTCACAGGCTAAGGCACAAAAGAACTTATTCTTAGAGAGAGGGTGATGTTCCATGAAAGTTGCATCCATGAGGACCTTATACTACTGAATATATGGGTCAATAAAGGCTGAAAATGTAGCTACATGAACTCCCCACAGCCAGGGGAAGACTGCCAAAATAAAGCTTCAACAGAAGCAGTAGGATTTCTATCACTGATAGAAGCATTAGAAGAAGTAAATCATTAACTGAAGTATTAACTTCAGAAGTAACGTGAACTTCAGAATTCATCAAAAACAAACAAAAGATGTAGAAAAGCATAACTGTCTACAAACAAAAACCTAAATTATGGTGGGGATGCAGAGCTTAGGTAAAATCTCCTGAAAATTGTACAATACATTATACGGAAGGTGGGAGAGTGGAAAAGTATGGGTAAGTGACAAATATGGCAACGAGTAAAGGACATTCAGAACTTCAATTTATACTTTGGTGATAGCATGAGAGCAAATTCAAAAAAGAAAGGCCTACAGTATTTCAAAGATAAGACTACCCAATATTAAAAGTTTACAGTTTATTTTTGCTTTCTTAATTTATACCAGTTATATGACTGTGAATAGCTACTTATTCCTGTTCAAAGTTGCATCTACTAGTTATTAAATTTGAATTATTTTTATTGTTTTTACTTGAATAGTTGTGAATAGATATTACAAACAAAAAACTACATTTTAAATTTTATTACTTACCATACATATATATCTATATAAATTTATATATTATAATATATTTTCTTCTTCTTTAAAATTTACTTCTTTCTTAAAAACAGTTGAGTCACAGACCATCACGTCCATACACTTTACTGTTCTTTTCTGTAACATACTATTTGAACTATGGATATGAGAACACTAGACACTTACCCTCCGAATAATGCAGAAGTTGAAATCTTGTATAAAAATAAAGCTTTGTTTATATAGAGCTTGTGAGTATAATGTTTAGAATGATTTCTAACCCTTTAGCCTAGATTGAAATATCTCAATTCAAATAATAAAATTTATGAAACTAAGTAATGTTTAACAGTAGCATTAGATAGTTATTTTATAAGAACACCATGTTTCTTCAAATGGAATGGAAGCAAAATTTAGCAACATTCTTTTAAATGGAACAAAGACATTCATCAGCCAAATGGCCAGGTTCAGGTATAGTTATACTTAATTTTGACTTATTGTCTAGAGGGATTGCAATCAGTGAGTAGCATCCATCACCATTTTATGTAGGTTATCACTGGTTAAGCTTGTGCTGATAAAAAAAAGATTGATGTGTTGTGATTACTGATCTTCTTGAACTGTATTCTCTATATATTTCGATATCATAAAACAGACTAAAAATTGGGAGCATGTGACTTTACCCCTGGAAAACAACCCTAATTAGTACACTCTTACTTCAATCTATGCAGACCTGCCATGTAACACTTAAAAAAAAAAGTGTAGTCAACTGAGACCACTGGGCAGGATAACTTGATCTAACTCTTGTTCCAGATGATCAGAGCTCAGTGATTTAATCAATTAATTGACATAATCAATTACCTATAAGCAGCTAATAGTATCCTATAAACTAATTGCTTAATCAAAGTTATGATTAATCAATTAAAGTCCAAAAACTAATCAACTAGTAGTAGTGTTTCCAATTATTTCCATTTTCAATTATTCCAACAACCAATTACATTGAAAATATGATTAAATTGATTGTCATAATTAGTTTAGGGTTTTTGATTATTTTCAATATCCAAGTAATAAAATATTGTCATTTTGTTTGTTTAATGTTAAGCACAAAGCTACAAAATGGGTGGATGGGGGAGGGTTCATGATTTGAGGGTCTTAAGTTTGATTTCTCCTGCCACTAAATTTACTTGTCTTATATTTGTTATTGCAATGCTATTAAGGATATCTACCACTATTACAATTTTGAACTGCTGACTAGAAACAAGACAACTGGCTAATAGCACACACTGCCAACTCTCTGGCTACTTTTAAGTATTAAATAGTGTAAATTTAAAGCTTGTTTACACTGTGTTATGTTTCTAATTTATAATTGTGAATAAGCAGGTATGAACCTAGTGGAGAGGTCCATTGGGGTGAACCCCCACACATTTTATTCAGAAATTACTAAATATATTATTTAAAGTTGTCTAAGCAGGTGTAGAGGTTACAAAACCCCCAGTCCACCTTTTCTACCACTTTATATTTCAGAAATTAATAAAAATAGCCAATAGTATCCAAAAGAAATATTAGATCTCAGTGTTTTTATTTGAGTGGTCTCATAATTACTGTAAAGTTAACATTTTCTTAAATCTGAAAATGCATTACCAATAGATATCTCCTCTTACAAAAAAGCTTTTGTGACTTATACTGCCCTCTATCAGCACACATTTTTGCTAGTCTTGATACTCCCACTTACCCTCATGTATGTTAACATGAGATATCTGCATACTAACATGCAAATGATTATGCAGCAACCGTCCACTGATAGCAATGAAACAGTACCCCTATCGTAACTAGTGCTTTCTCCTAATATTGAAGCTGTTAACCACTTCAAGAATGGTCAGATCACACCAAATCACACCTGAAGTACAGAGAACAGGTGGGAAATGTGAGTTGAGGTAAGTATCTATTGGAAATACATTTTCAATTTATGAAAATGTTAATTTTGGATACAATATCTTACCTCCTCTCACAAAAAGCTAGAATCCCATACTGAACAGGTGGAGGGCCAGTTAGGAAGCACCCAAAGGAAAACCATGG